AAAGTAATCCTGTACACATACGCAAAATATGGTTGTTCTACAAATCATTATATAAATAAGTAATTATTATAACAACATGCAAAAATCTAAAATAAATACAATATAAATGTTTAAAAACATTGCTTAACCGAAAACATTAGGATCCATGTGCAGCTTTATTAGTTCACAAGGCAGATCATACAGGCATAGATCGTTAACTGGCGTTAGAAGCAACAAAGGCTGGGCAGAATCGTAAACGGTGTTCGTAATAAGGGTTGAGGCAGGCGGTAGACAATCAATGGTATGAATCAACAAGGCAGGCAGGGTCAGAATAGGTAGGCAGGAAGCAATCGTAAACGGGTAAACAGTCCAGGTAATCAACAGGTATTCAACACAGGGAAAAACGCTCAGAAATGTCTGCAAGGCAAAACAAGACTTCGCAATGAGAGCAGGGAAGGCACAGTTTAAATAGGCCGGGCAATAGGAAACACCTGTGCAGGTGATTAGTCTCTGGCATGGGGCATAGTGGGAATTGGAGTCCGAGGGGATCGCTCAGTACTCCGGTGATGGTTCCCTCTGGTGGGGATTGGAGGGAGCCACAGAGGCTGAATTTGTGACAGAGCCCCCCCCTGTGAGCGGCTCCTGACACACAGAGGCGGACGACGCCGGGGTCTTCCGCGGGGTCTCGGGGCAGGTCTATCCGAGTGGTCTCTGTGAAAGTCTGTGGTAAGCGAGGGATCCAGAATATCCTCTACATTGACCCAGGACCGTTCCTCCCTCCCAGTCCACTAGGTACTGGATAACTCTTCCCCGGCGACGAGAGTCCAGAATCTCCCGAACTCGGTACGCCTCCTCGCAGTCTATGGTGATGGGAGGGACTCTCTGGTCACCAGCCTCCTCCTGGTCCTCCGCTCCTCTCGGACCACCAGCGGGCTTGAGCAAAGAGGCATGAAAAGTGGGTGAGATACGATAATGGCCAGGCAAAGCTAAACGGAATGAAACAGGAGTTATTTGTCTGAGGATTTTGAATGGACCCACGTACCTAGGACTGAGCTTCTTGCAGCGTAACCGGAGACGAAGATCCCGAGTGGACAACCAGACCCACTGATCCGGTTGATAGTTGGGATTGGTGCGCCGATGGCGATTAGCTTGTTCCCTTGTCCGATGGACTGCTCTCTGGAGATGAACATGAGCCTCATTCCACGTCTCCTCGCTTCGTTGTAGCCATGAATTCACGGCTGGAAGTTCTGATGGTTCCCCGGACCATGGGAATAATGGGGGTTGGAAACCCAAGACACATTGGAATGGAGTGATACCTGTCGCAGGTTTGCGGAGAAAATTCTGTGCATACTCGGCCCATAGTAAGTAGCGGCTCCAGTCGGTCTGATTGCGATGGCAGTATGATAGGAGGAAACTAGTGAGTTCTTGATTGAGACGTTCCACCTGACCGTTCGACTGTGGGTGATACCCGGAGGTGAGACTGACATTGATATTGAGCTGCCGGCAGAAGGCTGACCAGACTCGGGAGGTGAACTGAGGATCCCGATCAGAAATCACGTCCTCAGGAAGGCCGTAAAACCTGA